CACACTCACACACTCCCACACTCACACACTCCCACACCCACATTCACACTCCTACACTCACACACAACACTCCCACACTCACACTCCCTCTCAGGAGTCTCACACTCACACTCACATATAACACTCCCACACTCACACTCACACTCCCACACTCAAACTCACACTCACACACAACACTCACACTCACACTCCCCCACACTCACACACTCCCACACTCTCACACAGAACACCCCCATAATCACACTCCCACACTCTCACACACATTCCCACACTCACAGTCACACTCTCACACACAACACTCCCACACACTCCCACACTCCCACACTCTCACACATGACACTCCCATACTCACACTCCCACACTCCCACTCCCACACTCTCACACTCCCACATTCTCACACATAACACTCCCACACTCACACACGCACACACAACACTCCCACAGTCACACACTCCCACACTCCCACACTCTCACACAGAATACTCCCACATTCACACTCACACTCCCACACTCCCACTCCCACACTCCCACTCCCACTCTCTCACACACAGCACCCTCACACTCACACTCTCATTCCCACACTCTCACAACACTCCCACACACTCCCACACACTCACAGCAGCATCACACTCACACTCCCACACTCATACTCCCAGATTCTCACACACAGCTGCCTCACACTTACATTCCCACACTCTCACAGCACTCTCACACTCACACTCCCACACTCTCACACACAGCACTCTCTTACACTCTCACAACACTCACACACTTATACTCCCACACTCTCACTCACAGCACCCTCACACTCACACTCTCATACTTTCACACACAGCATTCCCACACTCACACTCCCACACTCTCACACACAGCACCCTCACACTCACATTCTCATACACACAGCATTCCCACACTCACACTCCCACACTCACACAGCACTCCCACACACTCCCACACTCTCATGCACAACACTCCCACACTCACACTCCCACACACTCACAGCAGTGTCACACTCACACTCCCACACTCACACTCCCAGATTCTCACACACAGCTGCCTCACACTCACACTCCCACACTCTCACACTCACACTATCTCACACACACAGCACTCTCACTCTCACACTTCCACACTTACATTCCCACACTCTCACACACAGCACCCTCACATTCACACTCCCACACTCTCACAACACTCCCACACTCACACTCCCACTCTCTCACACACAGCACCCTCACACTCACACTCCCATACTCTCACACATAGCATTCCTACACTCACACTCCCACAATCTCACACACAACACTCCCACTCACACACTCCCACACTCACACACGGCACCCTCACACTCACACTCGGCACCCTCACACTCACACTCCCACACTCTCACACAGCACTCCCACACACTCCCACACTCTCACACACACTCCCACACTCCCACACTCTCACACACACTCCCACACTCCCACACTCTCACACAGCACTCCCACACACTCCCACACTCTCATGCACACTCCCACACTCACACTCACATTCCCACACTCACAACAGTCCCACACTCACACTCCCACACTCTCAGCATGCTCACACTCACACTCCCACACTCTCACACACAGCACTCTCACACTCACACTCACAATCCCACACTCACAGCACCCTCACACTCACACTCCTACACTCTCACACACAGCACTCTCACACTCACACTCCCACACTCTCATACACAGCACCCTCACACTCCCACTCCCACACTCTCACAACACTCCCACACTCACACTCCCACACACACACAGCAGCCTCACACTCTCCCACACTATCACAACACTCCCACACTCACACTCCTAGACTCACACACAACAGCCTCACACACTCCCACACTCTCACAGCACCCTCACACTCACACTCCCACACTCTCACTCCCACACTTTCACAACACTCCCACACTTACACTCCCACACTCACACACAGCACCCTCACACACTCCCACACTCTCACAAACAGCACTCCCACACACACTCCCACATTCACACTCCCACAGTCACACTCCCACACTCTCACAACACTCCCATACTCACACTCCCACACTGTCACACACACACAGCACTCTCACCCTCACGTAGGCACCCACACACATTCAAACACGCCCACACTCATACATACTTACAAACTCATTCACACAATCACCCTCCCATTCTCACACTCACACCTTCTCTCATGCACTCACACACTCTCACACACACTGTCTCAGTCACATACACTCACATACACTCTCATACTCATGCTCATTTACACACTTACACATGCTCACTCAGGCACATATTCGTGCACACTCACATCACCAGCCATCTTCACCCCTTCTCCCCACCCTTCTCGTTCTCACCACCTTCCCCACTCTCTAATGGTCACAGACTCGCTAAAGAGTAGCAGAAACAGAGGAGGCCTTCAGGTCTCTCTGGAAAGTTTAGGTATCTGGGACAGGAAGAAGTAGGGGCAGGGAGCTCTTGCTGTCCAGCGTGACAGAATCCCCAGGGATGGCGGGGAGCTGAGGCCTGGCAGCTCAGGAACAGTGTGCGGGTCACTGGTGCTACCAGCCACCTTCTCATCAGGAGAAAGGAAAAACCCTTCAAAATGGTTCTTTTCAGCTAGTGCCCCCCAAATCACAGCCCTGGAAATGAAGGAAAGGAGGAGAAAGAAGCATGACAGAGCAGGTTCCTCTGACCACTTCAGGAGAAGCCCAGGGGCCCTGCTGACTGCCTGGTCAACCTACAGAGAACTGAGCTCTGGCCTAACGATTAGTGTGAGGAACCTGAGGCCTCCGAACAAGAGGGAGGCCTTAGCAGGCACTCCCATGTTCCCACTGCGCCCCAAACACAGAGCACACACCCAGTGGGAAAGAGAGGATGTGCTCCCCATCCTCTGGTAGGCCAGGCTGTGAGCTGTGCCTCCTGCACCTGAGACCTGGGTCCAGCCTGAGGCCAGGGTGAGAACCAGCTCTGGGGAGGGAAAGCTCAGTCCCACCAGCACTGCTGGAGGGTTTGTCTGGGCGTCTGCCCTGCCTTGAGTCTGTGCCCCGTGAACAGTGTGTGGCTTGGAGGCTGAGAGCAGAAGGTGCAGTCGCCCGTCCTGTTCCAGAGAGGCCTGCATGGTCGCCCTCCCCACGCCTCCCCTGCTGATGTTGTTTGTCTCCTGGGTTAGCAGCAGGGGAAGTGAGGTTAAAAACCCTGGGCTGGGTGGGGGTGGAGGTGCCTCACTGCTCCAAGAACTGCCTGGGGGAGGCTTCTTCCCCTGAAGCAGGAGGCCTGGCGTTCTCTACTCTGGCTGGGTGGTCCAGCCCAGCCCTACTAGCACCCTGGGACCGCCTGAGGAAGAGTGTGTGTGTGTGTGAGTCCTGTGTGAATTTGTTTCCATGTGTGAGTGTGTATGCATGTGAGTGTGGGCACTGTGTGCATGAGTGTGCTTGTGTGTGTGTGCTTTGTGAATGTATGTGCACGTGTGTACATATGTGTGCATACCTGTGTGCGTAAGGGCATAGGTATGAGGACAAGTGCATGTGTGTGAGTGCACATGTGTGACTGTGCAAGTGCGTGAGTGCATGTGTGTCGGAGTATGTGTGTGCATGTGGGAGAGTGTGTACCATGCCTGTGTGAGTGCATGTGTGTGTCAGAGTGTGTGTGCACGTGAGAGTGTGTGTGTACCATGCCTGTGTGTGTGAGTGCATGTGTGTGTCAGAGTGTGAGTGTGCATATGTGAGAGTGTGTGTACCATGCCTGTGTGTGCATGAGTGCAAGTGTGTGTACTGTGCCTGTGTGCGTGTGTGAGTGCACATGTGAGTGTGCATGTGCACGTGTCAGAGGCGCTAGCACCAGGGCCTCAGCAATGTCAGGCCGGTTGCTCATTCTGTGCCTTTACACTGTTGACTGCCTTTGTCTGAATTTCTCAATGCTTTTCCTCTCCTCTCACTTTCTCTCTCAAAGCACCTCCGAAAGAACAGGAAGTTGGGCAGAAGTGAGTCCCACATTGTATAGGTGAAGAAGCTGAGGTGTTGATAGAGGAAGTGATTTTATTGTGGTGACATAGGATACAAAAAGGAACACTGCTCTGCCCCCAGCTGCCCCAGCCCTCTCCCCGAGGTCTCCTTAGGCCTCCTCCCAGGCTCCAGAGCCCCTTCCTCTCCCCTTTCCCCCCTCCCAGTCAGGGATCCCATCTAACAATAAGAGATAATATTGACCAAGTGCGCATTAAGTGGCAAGCGCCATTTGTGTAGTGTTACTGGGCCAGAGAGCCAGGGATTGAATCTTAATTTGGTCACTTACTAGTTCTGAGACTTGGGCAAGTTACCTATCTATGCCTCAGTTTACTCATGGGTAAGATGGGGATAAAAGCACTGAGGGTTGTGGTGAGGATTAAATGAGTCCCCATACTCAGAAGGCCGGCTGGTTCCTGGAGATGCTGCATGGGCCCTGACTGCCCTGATCATGCTCACCATCATCACCACTCTCTACTGCCTCCCAAGTGCTTGGCTGCCCCCTTGGAGAACTAACTCAGCTCAGAGGTCGACTTGGCCTGTGCTCAGTCCCTCGGCTCCACCCTCTGCCTGGCTCGCCCTGGGGTGGCAGGAGGGCTTTTCCTTCCCTCCTGTGGGGCTTCCCTATCCCCTTCAGCTTCCTTCCCTTGGAGGCCCTCAGACCCATGGCCTCAGTGCAGAGGTCCACACTCCCCACTTTCCAGGCTTCCTTCCCACTTTCCCCTTTTTTCCACTTCACCATTTACTCACTGGGTGACCTGGAGCCAGCGAGTTCATCTTTCCCTACATTAGTTCCTTCCTCTGTAACCTGGGATGACTAATACCCCTCCCTGCGGAATTGAATGTATTTATGAATGGCATACAGTGGGTACCCAATAAATATCAGCTTCATGCCCCCTCACTACTCATGGTCCTCACTCCAGATTCATTCAGATCACTCCTGACTCCTGACCCTTGACTCAACTGTGCCTTGCAGATTGGAGCATCTCTGATGTCAAGCAATGTGGGCAGTGGCTTATTCATCGGCCTGGCTGGGACAGGGGCTGCCGGAGGCCTCGCCGTGGGTGGCTTCGAGTGGAACGTAAGGAAGCTGGTTTGGTTTTTCCAGAATAATGAGAGTCTAACCCACCTCCGTCTCTGGCATTAGTGCTGGGAGGATCCTTAGGGATGCCTAGGAGGCTGGATGGTGAATTGAGAATCCATTTCACAGATGAGGAAATCAAGGTCTGGAGGAGACAGAGGGATCCATGCAAGGTCACACGGGAGGACTGGGGTCAGGTCCCAGGTCCCTTATTTCTCTGTTTGGGGGACTCCCACAGCACAGCGCTGCCTCTGGGTGGGAAGCCGCCCCTCTGTCTATATCCAGGACCTGGATATCTTCTTCTCCCCACTCTTCCAGGCAACCTGGCTGCTCCTGGCCCTCGGCTGGGTCTTCGTCCCTGTGTACATCGCAGCGGGTGTGGTCACAATGCCACAGTACCTGAAGAAGCGATTTGGGGGCCAGAGGATCCAGGTGTACATGTCTGTCCTGTCTCTCATCCTCTACATCTTCACCAAGATCTCGGTAGGTGTCATTACAATGTGGCCGTTGTGTCTGGAAATGTTGATTCGGGAATTGCGGAGTGCATCACCATGTGCGTGTTGCTGAAGGGAAGCTGACAATCCATTGAAAAAAAGGAAGGCAGGACCTAGAAACCTTTAGCACATGCTCCCCTTCAGCACTGGGGTACTCAGAGATTAATGGTAAATGTTTTTGGAGTGAACGACAGCCGTTACACTCAAAGAAATCACCATCCAGAGTTCATTCATTTATTTTTTCATTAATGGATTATTCATTCATCAACTGTGCGTTAGTTGCCGAGATTTTTGGAGTTAGAAAAGTCTTTAATCCTCCTCTATTGACCTAAACTCAGGAAACAAACCTAGATAGGTCAAATGACTTGCCCAAGCCCACACAGAGGGCTAGCTCTAGAACTGAAACTGAAGTGTGGGTTCCATGACTCAGTCCAGTCTCCTTCCACTCTGTTATGTTTTAAACCCCGTAACAGGTTCACAAAACAATCATGGAATGGGACCCACAAGCACACACTAAAGGGAACTGAGTCACTCCGTTGCCAGGTCCAGGGCTGAAAAACACTTTAAGGCCCTTGTTCCACCAATGTTTGAGAATCAGCTGACTAAGTCAGCTTAGGCTCAGGCTATAAGCCCTTGTCTGCTAATAAACCCAAGTATGTTGATGAGTCACATCCATGTCTATCTGCACCAGGGCTCCTGCCGCACTGGGTCAGCCGTGGGCCATCTGGCAGCCAAGTAGGCTCTGCTCTGCCAGGGAGCAGCCAGTAACTCTCTGGTTCTTCCTCTCTTCTCCTAAATGGCTTCTTCTTCTCCAGCCCAGCACCTTCCTTCACTTCCTCAGTCTTCCACTTAATTCCTCACCACTCCCTTCACATCTAGCAGACTACGCAATTAAATTTTTCTCAGTTTTGGGACTTTATACAGTACTTCTCTGCTTTAAAGCCTCCATGGTGCCTCAGTGTCTGCAAGATAAAGCCCACACTCTTTAGCATAGCACTTAAAGCTCATTTTCATCATGTGACGAGGGCTGAGGATGCCTGGTGTTGCTGGGCAGGCAGGTGACGTGTCCACACAGCCCTACTGAGGGCCTCGGGTGTCCTGGCCTCTTGGGTCCTGGCTCTCTGCAGACTGATATCTTCTCTGGAGCTCTCTTCATCCAGATGGCATTGGGCTGGAACCTGTACCTCTCCACAGGGATCCTGCTGGTGGTGACTGCCATCTACACCATTGCAGGTAGGCAGAGGGAAGGTCATGTTGGGCTGCCGAGACTGAGACAGGAAGAGGGAAAGAGGGAAGCTTTTGACTGGCAGAGACCACCCAGAGAGAAAGACTGAAGGAGAGACAACCAAAGAGAGACAGAGAGACATAACACTGATGCTGACAGAGAGAAAGAGAAATAGGAGAGGTAGAGACAAAGAAAGGCTGAGACAGAGAAGTAGAAGAGAAGAACACAGGGGAACAGAATGAAAGACACAGGGACAGAGACCAGGGGGATGAAAAGGGCAGAAATGGGAGAAGGAACGGGTCAAGCAGAGAGAGGGAAGGACAGACAGTAATAAATACCAGAAAATACTAACTGCCCAGGGAGCAAGGTAGAGAGGGGTACTATGACCCAAGCCAGAGTCACTGCAGGCTGCCCCAGGCAGAGACCACAACCCACCTCCTCCTGTTTCCTCTAAATCTCCTCGCACAAGGTTGGGCACCATGGGAGACCAGCATGGGAGGACAGCCTTACTTATGGTTAAGTTGGGGTCCAGAGACGGGGTAGGGGGCATTTAGATGGACATTGGGAGGAGAAAGCAGGGAGTATTCCTGGCAGAACTACAAGCCAAGGAATGGACTTGGGATATTAAACAATAAGACAGAGCTGTGGCGTGATGGCCACAGTCAGCTGCTGTCAAGACAGAAAGAAGGGACCCCAGCACCTTTGACTGTGACCAGCCGGCATCCTGCCAAGGAGGGAGAGAGGGGAGCACTGGGTGTGGAGAAAGGCAGGTGGCCAGAGTTCCCCTGCTAAGAGGGCTCTGTGTCTTCTCTGGTCTCCCCAGTGTGGCCATGAATAGAGCAGGCAGCCAGAGAGGACCCCAAACTGGTGCTGACTGATGAGCTCTCTCCTTGGGTCCCCAGGGGGCCTCACGGCCGTGATCTACACAGATGCTCTGCAGACGGCGATCATGGTCGGGGGAGCCCTGGTCCTCATGTTTCTGGGTAAGAAGAGACCTAAATACACCCCACCATCATTCTTAAATTCCTCTCTGTCCTATCTCTGTCACCTCCAGAGTTCGATTGAAACTTTCCAGTGCTTAGAGCCATGTGAGCCATGTCCCCTCTCCAGGCTGCGGCTCCCAAAGATCAGGGTTCTCGCTACTTCAAACCAAGGGTCTTGAGCCCAAGCCCCATCTTCCTCATTCACCCCCAATCCCCACGTCAGTTCCAACCTGAGAGCCCACATGAGGCTGGGGGCTGGACATGCTGAGTGACAGGCTCAGTGGGGTCTCAGGGCTGCTTCACTCACTGTCTCCTCACAGGCTTTCAGGATGTGGGCTGGTACCCAGGCCTGGAGCAGCGGTACAGGCAGGCCATCCCTAATGTCACAGTCCCCAACACCACCTGTCACCTCCCACGGCCCGATGCCTTCCACCTGCTTCGGGACCCTGTGAGCGGGGACATCCCTTGGCCAGGTCTCATTTTCGGGCTTACAGTGCTGGCCACCTGGTGTTGGTGCACAGACCAGGTAATCCCCAGCCAGGCTTAGCCTGAAGTGGGGTGGCTTCCTGCAGAAAAACCCAGCGCCTGCATGCACAGAGGGTTGGACCTCATTCTGGGATTGTGACTGGACTGGAGTAGGGGCACAGTCATGCCCAGTGTCAGGGCTCACCTGTGGCTTAGTGAGCATTTCCTCAACCTGAGCTGCACTCCTCATTTGCTGCCCTTTCAGGTCATTGTGCAGCGGTCTCTCTCGGCCAAGAGTCTGTCTCATGCCAAGGGAGGCTCCGTGCTGGGGGGCTACCTGAAGATCCTCCCCATGTTCTTCATCGTCATGCCTGGCATGATCAGCCGGGCCCTGTTCCCAGGTAAGAGTGAGTCTTGCTCTCTGGGTGTTGGGATCTGGGGCTTTCAAGGAGTGTCTGGAGAATGGGAATTTGTCCCTCGGCAATGTTAGACCAGAGCAGGGGTTGGCAAGGTTTGTCTATTAAGAACACATAGCCAGGCATGGTGGCGTGCACCCATATACCCAGCTACTTGGGAATGATGAGGATCCTGAGTCCAGGAGCTTGAGTCCAGGAGGTTGAGGCTGCAGTGAGCTGTGATTGCCCCACTGCATTCCAGTTTGGGAAACAGAGCAAGAGAAACCCTGTCAAAAAGAAAAGAAAGAACAGAACAGAACAGAAAAGAAAAGAGAGAGGGAAGAAGGGAGGGAAGGAGGGAGGGAGGGAGGGAGAAAGGAAGGAAGGAAGGAAGGAAGGAAGGAAGGAGAAAGAAGAAAAGAAGAAAGAAAGGAAGAAAAGAAGAAAAGAAAGAAAGAAAAAGAAAGAAAGAAAGAAAGAAAGAAAGAAAGAAAGAAAGAAAGAAAGAAAAGGAGGAGGAGGAGGGAAGGAAGGAAGGGAGGGAGGGAGGGAGGCAGGGAGGGAGGGAGGGAGGGAAAGCAAAGGAAAGCAAAGGAAAGCAAAGAAAGGAAAAGAAGGCCGGGCACGGTGACTCACTCCTGTAATCCCAGAACTTTGGGAGGCCGGGGTGGATGAATCATGAGGTCAGGAGTTTGAGATCAGCCTGACCAACATAGTAAAACCCCGTCTCCACTAAAAATACAAAAATTCGCTGGGCGTGGTGGCACGTGCCTGTAATCCTAGCTACTCAGAAGGCTGAGGCAGGAGAATCACTTGAACCCGGGAGGTGGAGGTTGTAGCGAGCCGAGATTGCGCCATTGCACTCCAGTCTGAGTGACAGAGCAAGACTCCATCTCAAACAAACAAACAAAACAAGATAGAAAGAAAAGAAAAGAACACATAGTAAGCAGTTTAGGCTTTGTGGGCCAAACATATGATAAATATTTCAGTAGAAAAAAATGTGAATCAGGTAGAAAGTGTATGGGCAAGAAACTTACCAAAGACCTGGACACCATTTGCCCCTTGACCTTGAAGACACGGGTCCCTGTCAGTCTCCAGTGAACATTATCCTGTAGTTTTGGAAAGCAAATACTAGGCCAACCTGAGAAAGCACAAGATCATGGACTCTAACTGCCATCACTTCTTCCACAGACGAGGTGGGCTGCGTGGACCCTGATGTCTGCCAAAGCATCTGTGGGGCTCGAGTGGGATGTTCCAACATTGCCTACCCCAAGCTGGTCATGACTCTCATGCCTGTTGGTGAGTCTCTCCTCCCCAGCCCACTCTGCACTCTCACCTCCAGCCTCCTCCAATCTCCATTGCCCAGGAGGGATGGCACTAACATGGATGGGAAGAGGGAAGAAAACTATTCACCTCTGCACCCCCATCCTAACACACACACACACTTTTTACAAGCATTTGTACATAAGACATCAGCTCTGTGGGCAGGTTCTGGAGATGTAGAGATAAAACGCAGGCCCCTGCTCAGGCATCACGCGGTCTCCAGGGTGCCTGGACTTGCCAGAGGCACAATCCAGTGGAACCAATGTGGTGACCCAGTATGGGTTAAGGGAGCCCTAAGGAGGCACCTGACCCAGCTGGAGGATGTCGGGAAGGTCTCCCAGAAGGAAGGAAATGGAGCTGCATCCCGAGTTAAATCTTAGGCAGACACAGCCGGAGGGGCATAGGAAATGTCATTCTAGGGATGAGAAGCTGTGCCTGCAAAGGCCCAAGGTGAAGAGAGAGCATGAAGTATGAGCTTAAAGAGGCCCAGTGTGGATGCAGGAGCCAGGAGGAATGAAGACAACCTTCCTGGTTCGGATGTCACCGCCAAGCCTTGTTCTGGAGCAGAGTGCTGGGACACTGGGGGGTTTTGGTCAGAGAGAGCATGACTGGCTTTGTGTTTCAGCAAGACCAGTCTGCGTGGATGACTCTGTATGAGGCAGGCTTGGGGGTAGGCAGGGAGATTGTCCATGGGGTGTTTGCAGTGGTCCAGATAGGTGGACCAAGTCAGTGGCATCAGAGATGAAGAGAAAGGATTTAAAGATGTTTGTGAGGTTGAATTGACAGGACTTGATTTGAGGGATAATACAGAGAAATCCTAGAAGGCTCCCAGATCTTGGCCTTTAGATGGTGGTTTTATAATGATATTGAGATTAGGGACATACGAAGAGAGGTAGGATTATGGAGGGCAGCAGAGAGTAGAGATATTCCCTCCCTGTGGTAGAAGGAGGAGTAAATCCAGGCAGTAGTGGCCATGGAGGGAGGCCCAGCTAGGACAGAGCTGCCCTGAGGGGCAGATTGGAGGTAAGCAGGGAGGGGAGCAGAGCAAGGGTCTCAAGTAGCTCTAAGCTCTGCTGTGGGGCTCAAAAGATAATAACTAAAGAGGGGAACAGAAGTCCCCAGAGGGAGATGGGCACCTGAGTTTGGAGCACTTGAGTCTGAGGCACCTGTGGTGCTCCAAGGGAGAGAAATGGACATCAGAAGGTGGTCAAATATATGGATTTGGAGGGAAAGAGGACTGAGGTGGGACCCGGGCTGGGATGATCTCCCCAGGGGTGAGCAGTCATATCTCTAGAAGCTTGGTCACCGTCAGAGAAACTTCTATATCAGTGGGCCCCATCCTCCCTTGTTCAAGTGGAAAAATAGGCCCAGAAATGGCAAGGAGCTAGTCCAAGGATCATACATACAACTGGTTACTTGCAGAGCCAGGAAACAAGCCCAAAGCTGCTACCTCCCAGGCCAGGGCTTTAGCCCAACACCACCATGTCAATGAAGAAGGTATAGAAACACTAAACAGATCCACCCAATTATTAATAATCACCTTTCTCCCCTCCCCAGCAGCGACCCACTAACCAAGTATCTACAAGCTGTGAAACCTAGACTGAGATGTTAAAGCTTCCGAGAACCTAGTCCTACATGCCTTAATAGGATGGATGAGGAAACTGAGGCTCAGGGTGGGAGGTGGAGGGGCAAATGAGTCATGCAAGGCCACATAGAAAGGCAGGGAGAGAGCCTGGGCAGAACCCAACCTGTAGTTCTGTGGTCTTGGATTTCTTATCTGTGCTGGATGGGAGCCTCATCCAGCCCCTTCCCTCTCTCATCCCCACCCCCAGCTCCTGACTCTGCAGAACGCTCCAACAGCTTCTGTGGTCCTGGCAGAGTCGGCCTTAACAGGCCAGCCGTTCACATGAGCCTCATCTCTCCCCAGGTCTGCGGGGCCTGATGATTGCCGTGATCATGGCCGCCCTCATGAGCTCACTCACCTCCATCTTCAACAGCAGCAGCACCCTGTTCGCCATTGACGTGTGGCAGCACTTCCGCAGGAAGGCAACAGAGCAGGAGCTGATGGTGGTGGGCAGGTGCGCTGGCCCCTCCTTCCTTCCTTCCCAAGTGCCCTCTCCCCTCTCCCCTGCCCTGGGTTACCCTGAGCAGGTGTGGCTGGGTTGGACCCTGGACTGGCAGCCAGAGCACTGGGTTCAAGCTCCAGCTCTCCACATGATTTCAAGTAAGTCCTTCCCCAACCCTGGACCACTCCTTCTTTCTGAATAATAGGAAAAAACACCTCTTCCCTGGTAACTTTATCTTGGAATTGATCAACAGGGTTATTGAGAGATAAAAAAAGTACTTAAGAAATGAAAGGTAAACTGTGTAAGCGCAAGGAAATTTAGCAAGCAGCTCACCCAAGGTATTCCCAACCAACTCTGGATGTTACGCCCGGTTAAAAAAAAAATGCTATTAATTTAATCCATCAGATTCACTCTGAACATCTACGATGCATCACGTCCCACATGCAGGGGACCCACAGATGGGTCATATGGCCCTGCCCTCAGGGTGCTCACAGTTTAATAAGAAAGGTGGAAACACAGGTAACACAGCAAGGTATTTGCGTCAATGGAGATTTTCATGGGAAGGCTGTCTCCAAATGATGCAGAGCCTTGGACACCAAGCTAAGGAATTTGAACTTTATCTGTAGGTAACAGTTTTATGCTTTTAAAAGCCTAAGTTGGTGGCTACTATTTTTGGTTTTCCATAGGCTGGAGATTTGTAGTTCACATAAGGTTAAGGGGCCCTTTTTAAAATCTTTGTTTCATAATCGAAGGTTCCCTTACTTGGGTTTCTGGACTAAAGTTCTCCCACTTTGTGGCTAGGAAATTGAATTGAAGAATCTTGCTTTTTCGCATCTCCCTGCCTTTGCACTCACTGTTCTTTCCACCAGGATGCCTTCTGCCCAGGGCTGCCTAATGGATTCCTACTGCCTGCTCATCTGTGCACCCCCAGCCCTAGGCAAGGGGACTGGCCATTGCAGGATCTGAGTGCAGGACAGATTGTGCAAAGAGGAGGGGGACGAGCGGCAGGGAAGCTACTTGGGTAGCTGATGCTCTAGTGGAGTCTAAGAGAGGCAAAATGGGAGGAAAAGGAGAGGAGAAGACAGGTATGCAGTGACATGTCAAAAGAAGCATTCCTTATGTGTGCACATAAACTGGTTTTGCTATCATTTCCTCAATCAGTGAGGTTCGGGCTCTATCTACTGGTCATATGTGTTATTGCACCCAACACATCCAAGAAAAGTTTTTCATCTACTTCACACATCTGCAAAATCATACATGCAGAATGCTTTGGGGACTTAGGTCTGAGCCACAGTTTGTTGAGAGGGAGTCAGGTGAATAAGTGGGATTCTTTCCCAAGATCAATGACACAGTAAGGCAGAGAGGATCAGCGCCTGGAGGAGGGAGCAGTTCCTGGAAGCTGCAGTTATGCTGGGAAAGAGCTGCCTTACACCGGGCTGGGATGGAAAAGAGGGGAAGGCATGCTACGCAGAGACCAGAGACCTTTTACTGGGGTGGGGATGGGGCAGAATGTATGAATTCCTCCGTGAACAGCAACAGCTGGGTGACGTGACCTTGAAGGCATCTAATATATAAGTGCCATGGAGGCATTAGAATTATAAGTTTCTTCAATTCCACAATTCCGATATTCCAGGATTTTGAGACTAAGTTTCTGAATCTTAGTATTTGAGATTCTGGCTGCCAACCTTCTCTGATCTACCGACTGTGCATTTCCCTCCCTTCTCCCTTCCTGGTTCCTGCCCATGACCTTCACCCCACACCACACCATGCCCACCTGAGTGTGCCTCAGTGCCCTATGCTCTCTCTGGCAGAGTGTTTGTGGTGTCCCTCCCTTCCCCCTTCCTGGTTCCTGCCCATCACCTTCACCCCACACCACACCATGCCCACCCGAGTGTGCCTCAGTGCCCTGTGCTCTCTCTGGCAGAGTGTTTGTGGTGTTCCTGGTTGTCATCAGCATCCTCTGGATCCCCATCATCCAAAGCTCCAACAGTGGGCAGCTCTTCGACTACATCCAGGCTGTCACCAGTTACCTGGCCCCTCCCATCACTGCTCTCTTCCTGCTGGCCATCTTCTGCAAGAGAGTCACAGAGCCCGTGAGTACAGTGCAACTGTCTCTCACATACAACAGAGGGGCTGGAGACCTGGTCTCTCAATCACCTGGTCTCTGTGACCTTGGGAAAATCCACTTCCTCTCTAGGCTTCCATTTTCCTGACCATAGCATCTGGCCTAGATTCATTCATTCACTCAACAAACATTTATCAGTCTTATAATGGCAGCTCCAGAGATGCAATGGTTTACGAGATTCACATAGCTGTGCCATCGCTGGGCTGGCAGAGAGATAACTGAATAAGCAATAATAATAAAGTATGCTAGCTGGTGGGAGAGTAAAGAGCACAAGCACCTAACCTATGGGGCTCCTGGGAGGGGTCAGAGAAGACTTCCTGGATGAAGTGACATCTGAGCTGAGGCCTGAAGGATTAATGGGAGGGGGAAGAATGTTCCAGACACAAGGAACAGTGTATGTGACCGTGCAAGAGAGACTGTAATATCTCTAGGGTCTGTTCCATCTCTAACACTATAAGGTTCTATGTGTAAACAAAATAACAGCAATGACAATGATGATGACAAAGTGTGACCTTACAAGGGTTCCTGCACATGCATCATTCATGCAACGGCCCTGAAACCTGACAGAATCTGGGAGGAAGCAAGGGGTACCCCAGGACTGGAGGCTTGGTTACTCCCCAGGATAGCCTAGAAGAGACAGGCTGGCTGTACCTTGAGAAGCTGATGGATATCATGGACACCACTCCACAAAAACAATGTGAGAGTTCAAGGTCATTGAAAATGAGGTCATAGAACCCCCTCCCTTGACAGTACACCTAAGCAAGTGTCTACTGTCTGCACAGGTCTCATCTCACTGACAACGATGCCACACAGCAGGACCTGGATGAACTCTGGGTGTTTCTGCTCATTCCAAAGTTTTTGAAATCAGGATCAATATCTCCTATACTCTTACATGCTGGGAACAGGTACAGGTTAGGGCCAAGTGGAGGTATAAAGAAGAAAGACATGAGAGGTACCAGAGCTTTTCTTAAAAACAACAACAACAAAAGGAAAGTCTCTATTCTGATTTCTGATTTATCATAATAGAAGGCTGGGAAGGGGATCCTGGTATTCCCTGATTATTACAAAAGTTTATTCCATTGTAGTTGAATATTAACGATCTATTAATTGCTTAGTACTGTTTTAATTTTATGAATTTTTAAATTACTGCCCCCAATGAGACAACTCTGAGTCAGCAAGGCTGAGTCATTCGTTCAGTCAGTTCACAATGGAGCCAGGATTCAAATCTTAGTCTATGTGACTCTACAACCCCTATGCCACTGTGCCTTTCAGTCAAGACAAAGTCTCAGTACTAATGGGGAACTCATTTCCCCATTAGTAGATGGATTTTCCCAGCATGGTAATAAATCAGTGGGAGACAGAGTAGTTTTACCTTCCTAGGGTAGTTTTACCTTCCTAGGGTCTCCCACCTGGATAGCACCTCAGCTCATGTCTGCCCTCTTTCACAGGGAGCTTTCTGGGGCCTCATGTCTGGCCTGGGAGTGGGGCTTCTGCGCATGATCCTGGAGTTCTCATATCCAGCGCCAGCCTGTGGGGAGGTAGACCGGAGGCCAGCAGTGCTGAAGGACTTCCACTACCTGTACTTTGCACTCCTCCTCTGCGGGCTCACTGCCATCGTCATCGTCATCGTCAGCCTCTGTACCACTCCCATCCCCGAGGAACAGGCAAGTGTTGTGCTCATACTGAGGCCCTCCAGAAATGCTCTCCCTTCCCCCATAGCCTGGAATTCCACTGCTGACTTTTACTTTGTTGGGTTATGGTCTCCCCTCTGGCCACACAGATGTCCTCGGGAGGGAAAGTTCCTTGGGCTATGAATTCCCCAATGAAAAGTAATTCATTCAACTCAAAAATTACTCAGTGAGTACTTACTATGTGCTAGGCACTGTGCTGGGCTTACAAAGATGAATGGTCCCTGCCAGAGTTTATCCTCAGGGGGAAACAGAGCTGACACAAGCTGCCACTATACAAAGAGAAAGTGCAGAAGGGCCAAGCTCAATCGGAGGGGCCAAGCTCAGAGGGAGAGGCAGTCACCTCCTGGGGGCCCAGGGAGGGCACACTGACGAGGACACTTTGAATTAGACCTTGAAGAATGAATAGAGAATTTTAAGTGGCCAAGAAACAAATACAAGAGAAAAGAAACAGAGAGCCTATTAAGTGAAGAACTCAAATTGAAATCCTCACCTCTCACAAGCAACAGCCCTTGAACACTGATGCTTGGTCTTCTGCGGCCTTTTTTCCTTACAGCCTAGAGCTAGGGCTGCTGAAATAAAAGACCACCGATTGGGTGACTTAAGCAACAGAAATGTATGGTTTCACAGTTCCAGTAGCAGGAAGGCTGAGATCAAGGTGTCTGCAGCGTTGGTTTCATCCAAGGCCTTTTTCTGTGGCTTGTAAAAAACTGCCTTCTCTTTGTCTTTACACGGTCTTCCCTTGTGCCTGCCTGTGACTGAATCTCCTCTTCTTTTAAGTCATAATGGATTATGGCCCATCCTGGTGACCTCATTTAACCTTAATTGTCTGTAAACACCCCATCTCCAAATACAGTCACATTCTGAGGTACTGGCGGTTAGGACTTTGACGTAGAAATTTTGGGAGGACACAATTCAGCCCATAACAGAGCCCATGCTGGAAGTCAGTCCCTGAAACACGGAGTGGATATCAGGGATAATACTCTTTTGATGGATGGTGCTTTAGAGTTTGCAAGATGACTTTATACCCTTGGTTTCACTGATTCCCACAAAAAAAGCAGGGCCTTCCCAGGCTGATTTCTCCAGTGGCTCACACCAGAAATGAGCCCCTCCTCCCGCTGAATCTTCAGCCTCTTCTGCATTGCCTGTTTCCTCCCTCTTCATCCTGAAGTCTTCCCCAATTGAAAATCCTTCCCTGAATCCTGTTATCCTCTAGTTCCTGCTGCCTCCCTCTCCTCCCTTCAACAGCAGACTTTTGCAAAGAATGGTTTCCTTTCCCAGCCTCCACTTCCCACCTCTTGTCTGTTTCTCAGCTGCTGCTGTCTGGCTGTTGTCCCCAACATTCCGCTGACATTTCTCTCACTGAAGTCACTGATAACATCTTATTGCTAAAATCAAAGGTCATGTTCCTGTCTTTATCTTAAATGAATTCCCAAGAGAACTGGACACTACTGACCACTTCCTGCACCCCGAAGACCTCTCTTCTGTTCCCTTCCATGAAATATTTCTCCCCTAGGTTTTGTATTTTTGTTGTTTGTTTGTTTTGACTACCCTTCAAATCACTCTTTTGACTTCTTCACAGGCTTCTCTGTCTGCGCTGAAATATCAGTGTTCCTTAGGAACCCATCTATGGCCTATAACCTCTCTCACCCTACAACACTCCTGGGCTATCAATTCACCACTTTCTATGTAAAGTTGACTCTCAATTCTCTATCTACAGCCAAAACCCCTCTCCCAAGATTCAAACCAAAAATCCAACTGTCCCCTGATGACATACAGAGACATAGTCCATATGCTACTGGTGACACCCAGTAGAAGTATTAGGTAAGGTTTATTGAGAGATACTTATAAGCAAGGAAGCTTCCCAGGCTCTCATGATCCCAGAGAGATGCATGCCTGGGCCCAGCATAGCGGAAAGTAAGAAGTTGGGAGCAGGATAGGGGATACCCAGCTCAACATGCACCAGAAAGCTGCCTCAGAGCTCAGGCAGTGGTAAGTCCCACACCACCGATATGAGGCAGAGAACTGCTGTGTTTTATTTTGCTGAGTCACCAAAAAGGAGAAGAGAGAAAGCCATCAGGGCCATCCAAGGAAGTAAGTTTTATTTCTCCTCACCGGAACATCTCCACTAGGACGACCTGCAGACTCCTGAAGCACATCATCATATTTGTGTGTGCACATGTTCTCTCTCTCTCTGTCTCTGTCTCTATCTCTATCTCTCTTCTTTCTCTCACCAGCACTAATACCCACTCCTTGTCCTGTGTTCTTTATTCCTGGGAGAGGCACCACTACATGTCTGGTCACCCAAGGCAGGAACCCTGGAGCTGTATTAGCCTCTCCCATGTCCCTCACCTGGCTCTTTCAGTCAGTCACACTGTTCTGATTTCACCTCCTTTATCCATTTCCTCAGGTGTCCATTATTTTTGGCTTCATTTTTGCATTATCCTCCAATCTGGACCCCTTTCAATTCACTCCAAGAGGTCTTTGAAGATTCCGGCACTTGCAGTCTCTATCTTCTTCTTAAAGTCTGCAGTGACTCTCCATTGCCTACAGGGTTTTTGCTCTTTAAGTTACAACTCCTCAGCCTGACCTTTGAAGCCTCATTCTCAAGTGCCTGCCTCCCTGACCAGCCTCGTTTCCCTCAGTCTGTAAAATCCATGAGGACAGGACCCAGGTGTGTTTCAGGTCTGTATTCTAGCACCTGGCACAAGCCTGGGGTAGAGCACTTGATGTAGAGCAGGGAGTGTTCATATTTGAAGAAAGAGGAAGTCAGGGCTAAGATCCAAGCCTTGGGCAAGTCTAAGATCAAACTTGACTCCCAGTCCTGGCCTTGTTCATTGTACCCTTTGCTGTTTTCTGGATGGCCTTCCACAAATGGGCCTCTGTTTTTCTACAGCATGACTTCTCTCCAAGGCAGCTGACTCCAGTGTCTTCTTTCCCTCCAGCTCACACGCCTGACATGGTGGACTCGGAACTGCCCCCTCTCTGAGCTAGAGAAGGAGGCCCACGAGGGCACTCCGGAGATATCCGAGATACCAGCCGGGCAGTGCCCCGCAGGAGGTGGAGCAGCGGAGAACTCGAGCCTGGGCCAGGAGCAGCCTGAAGGTAGGCTGCGGCAGGCCGGGGGATACTCATCACAGAGGAACAAGTGGGCACAGACTTATGTCGTGGGCAGCCTTTGGGATGGGGCCTCTGAGGAAGCCCAATAAATATCACCCTAACTCCCTTCCCACGTGGCTATTGAACTATTAGAAAAATAAGATAAATGAGTTAGGTAGATGGGAGCCAAAACAGTGCCCTCATTACTGATCAAGTGTAAGTGGAAAGAGTTGGTTTAAATCTGTGGGGAGATCCACTTCTTAATACTGAACTCCCATATTCCACGGAGGTACCCATCCAGTCACCAGCAGATCTGATCGGGGCACAGAATAAAGAGGGCATGCTTGGCTCAGCCCTGTCCTCCCTGTAAAGAAGGGCAGGGCTGAGCTAAGCATGTCCTCTTTATCCTTCCCAAATCCACCCACACGGAAGTCCCTTCTCCCCTAGGTTGAATGAGTACAAGGGCAGAAAATCAAAGAATGTTACACCCACGGGGTTCTCTCCACATGGAAGGAAACATGAGGCATGACAAAGAAACCCCTCACCCGTGTCCCCACCACCACTTTTCTTTATTATTTATTTCTCTCTCCCGGGGCTCAACAAGTCTGCCTACAGTCATACAGAAGCGTGGTTGTCCCTCGTGGGATGAGAGCAGCCATGCCTCCATACAGTTGTTTTGTTTCCTGAGATTCCTCCAAAACACCCTCCCACACCTCCGGGTGTCTCCTCGAGCTGCCGATGAGCCATGTGACATATGAAGTGCATCCCTGGGGGTTCCTACACGTGTTAGAAGAGTATGTCAGCTAAATCTACTCGAAGGCCACACAGTATCTACAGTTGAAAATTATTTTAAGACATGATTTGAGGTACCTGTGTTAGACACAATGCAGCTATCACCTTCCTGAGTTAAACGAAATAACAATATTAAAACATTCTAATGATAGAGTGAAAACATTATAAAGATTTTTTTCAATTAAAAAAATCCCAAGGAAAATGTTAAACTCTATAAAGCTCTACCTGGGTGACAAAATAATCTATATGCCGAATCCCAGTGACATGCAATTTACCTATATAACAAACCTGCACATGTATCCCTGAAACTAAAATAAAGGTAACAGAAAAAAAAAAAGTGTCCCAGGAAAATAAATAAATAAATAAAATCCAAAAAGTTAAATAAGTTTGCAAATTAAAGTCCGAAATCAATCTCTCTTGCCTTTGTGAATTAAAAATTCAAAGAAATTTAATTCTTAGATCTATTTTCTGCCTCAGTGAAAGAAGGTCTCAATACAAGTAGATGAATAAGACATAGTCTCTGTCCCCAAGGAGGTGAGAATCTCTTGGAGGCAAACAGGTAGTGCAAAGATGTAGAGTTTACACTAAAATGGATAAAAATGTCAATAATGTAGTAATATTGGGCTTTTAAACACAATGGTATGCCATTGTTTATAACATCCAGGCAGAGAAATAAAATGCATCTTCATGTGAAAAAACAGTAAAATCATTAAGTTTTTTAAAAAACAGGTTTCAGTGCCTGGATGGAGTTAGGGTTCCCTCAGCAGCTGCAGCTACTTTCTCTCATTGGATTGGCCGTAGCTTTAGTTTTATACCAGCCTCTCTGGGCCAAACTTTAAATATTTCTAGTGAGCTAAGAGCATAGACAGGATTAGCAAAGCATCACTTGCTGCAACAGCATGGTTGGCAATGCCATGCCACTCGGTTCTCATGCCTTTGTCACGTTTGAGGGGCCCTATACTTTCCTCCAGACCTGCAAAGGATTCCACCTTTCTTGAGGCCCTTCACCTTTGCTTAAGGCCTTGATTCTAGAGAAACAGCCACTTGCCTAACGTTAATGACATCACAACCCCCAGAATCCCACCAAGGTCTAAGGCTCAAAGCTTCTTCCCAAGCTACGGCAGTTAAAAGCCAATAATCCAGTATAAAAAGCTATTCGTAACGATGGATATAATTTTTTCCAAACTTTCGTGGTTAAAACCCACATAGGCTCACTTCAGAAGATACTACCAAAGATCAACATCACCCTGCCTGGTCTTATCAGTTGCCCCTATTACTTAATGATATTTTGCTTTGCAAATATATATATATATATATTTTTTTAAACTGCTCCCCCATCATCATTGCAAAGACTGGGTCCTGGGCCTTGTAAAACTTATGGTATTCAAGAAAGCAATCTGAGAGCATGAGCTTTTGTAGATGAGGCAACTGCCAAGAGAAGGAGGAAGGAAGAAGGGGCAAAGCTGCAAAGAAGCTCCTACAGAGAAAGAGGAAGGAGACAGCTTGTACTTTCCCACTGCTGAACCCCAGAACTAGGCAAACTTACACAGAGTTACACAAATGAAACTACTCCCTGGTTGGTCCCCAGGCCAAGGGACAGAGTCATCCCTGGAGCAGCCAAGAGGAATGCCTGCTCCCTGTGGATAACTTCCTCCCAAGCAAGAAAAAGAAGGCACCAAGTCAGCCAAGAAGTCCAATGAGAGAAGCTCACCCCCCTTCACAGACCACCACTATGAGGAAGTAGAAGGGTAGGGAAAGGCTGGTGCTATTATACACTAAAGCTCCTTCCCTGCCCAGAGAAACAAACATCAGAAATAGGGAAAAGGCACCCTGTCTCAAAAAACCTGCAGGCAGGCATAAGCCAGGCAGTATAATGTTGAGTCCTGAAAAGGAAAGTTAAAAATATTTAAAGGAGGCTGGCACAGTGGCTCATGCCTGTCATCCTGGCACTTTGGGAGGCCAAGACATGGGGATTGCTTGAACTCAGGAGTCAAGACCAGCCTGGGCAACATGGCAAAACCCCGTACCTACAAAAAATGCAAAATTTAGCAGGGTGTGGTGGTGCACACCTGTGGTCACAGCTACTCAGGAGGGTGAGATGGGAAGATTGCTTGAGTCCAGAAGGTTGAGGCTACAGTGAGCCATGAATGTGCCACTGTACTCCAGCCTGGGCAACAGAGTGCGACCCTGTCTCAAAAAAAAAAAAATATATATATATATATATAAAAATATATATTTTTTAAAAATATAAAATATGTATATAAAATATTTTTCAATAAAATATATATATATATTTAAAGGACAGCAGAGTAGATCTGAAAGAAATATGTGCATGCCAGGTTTCCGATATGAATTTATTGAGTTATGGCACACCACTTAATAACTCCTTTAGTGACATAGGCTCTCTGGGCAAAGCAATTTAAATATGAAGCTCTGTGCATCCTCTGTCTCAGAAGTTTGCCAAGGGAATCAAAAGAGAGAATGTTTCAATCAGCTTGGAAAATGATAAAGCTTAGTATCAATGAAATGCTGAATTCATATTACCATTAGTGCAGTTCTGTTGCTATGTGACCTTAAATAAATCTCTTCCCTTTCCTGAGACTTTTTTCGTCTCTGTGCAATCAGGGAGCCAGACCAGATGGCATCCAAGGTTCTTGCATCTCTGACACCCTGTGGTTTTATTGAACTTACCAGCTACCACACTCTAAACACATTAAAATAATAAAGCATTCATTCCCAGTGCATTCTTTTCAATCTCAGTGAAAGGATTTTTATATTAATTTTATTTGTGATATAATATCTGTTGATTTAAAAACACTTAAAAATATTTACCTTATTAATTCTTTTGAATTTAGTTTTTAGTGAATTGTGCTATATTTTAACCTCAGAGCAGGCCCCTTTCTCACCCTGAGGAAGCCCGTGTCGCCATGGGTTCGGTCTCATGTACATTTAGAATATCATATGCACCAGAACCTCTCCCACTGCTCCAGCACTGGTAACTTTTTAAAGTGCTGTCCAATTTCCATCCTCATTTGGTAGTCAGAACAACCCAGAGAAGAATGGGGTATATGTCATTGATACATCTGAGACAGAAAGAACCTCCAGCTCAGAGAAGCTGAGTGATTTGCATATGGCCTCACAGTCAGCTAATGGCAGAGCTGGCCCTGGAACCAGGTTTCTGGCTTGCAGCCCAGTGCCCTTTCCAATTGCAGTTGTGGCAGTCTGCCTGGTTCAAACGCCTCCTTCTTCCTGGGTGAGATAATGCTCCTTCCTTCTGCCCTTATTCAGAACTTGTGCTATGAATTGGGATGAACTGTATTATCCTGCCACGTTTACACACCATCCCCTCTCCAAGAAAGTAGTGCTTCCACTACATGAGTGTTTGGATGCTGTGGCCAAGGTCAGAACTTAGTCTAGAGTACCAGCTCAGCCCTCGGTCTGTAGTTTGCAGAAAGTACAAGTCAATAGCTTCACCCCTCCCCATTTCCTGTGCACCCCCCATACTTTCCTTCAGTTTCTCACCATCTCTCTCCCTCCCCTACTCTCCTATCACTTTCCTTTCTCCAATCTTCTTTGCCTTTCCCCTCCTGCTCCTCTTCCTCTTCTGGCTTTGTCCCTCCAGCCCCAAGCAGGTCCTGGGGAAAGTTGCTCTGGAGCTGCTTCTGTGGGCTCTCTGGAGCACCGGAGCAGGCCCTGAGCCCAGCAGAGAAGGCTGCGCTAGAACAGAAGCTGACGAGCATTGAGGAGGAGCCACTCTGGAGACATGTCTGCAACATCAATGCTATCCTCTTGCTGGCCATCAACATCTTCCTCTGGGGCTATTTTGCATGATTCCCCAGACCTGGCTTCAGTGTAGACAGACTAACAAAGCTCAAGTCTGTCAGCCACAGAAACAGGCTCTCCTCTTACTTTGCTGTCTAAACTGGAGACCACAGAAGTCAAGACTGCAAGATCCCCTGAGGAGAATCCAACTCAACCTGCACACTTGACGAGTGGAGAAACAGAAGCCCAGAGAGAGCACTGGGTTTGTTCAGGGCCACCCAGCAGGAGTCACACGGGGTTTCCCCACTCTTTCTGATACATTGCCTTACAGACCTACCTCAAACACACTGTTTCCATCCTCTTGTTGAATGTATTCAGTAGCTTTACTGAATGTGTGTCTTGAGGTTAGAAAAGTGGAGGATACAAGAAAAGGAGCAGCAAGAAATTTGCAAAAATCCAAGAGCACTTTTGCTCCCCGTTATCCTCCTTTCTCTTCCCCTTTCTGGTTCCCCTACCTCTCTATCTTTCTATTCTTACCAATAATCTGTTTGTAGCATGAATTTACCCAGGAGGGTCCTATATTTCCATTGGTGGCTCCACAGTGGTGGCTGTCAGACCCGAAGGAGTGGGGAGCCAAGGGTGGACTTTAAGCATGGTGACAGATGGTGTTTTGAGCAGAAAGCTCTTGGACAAGGGACTATCCAAAGCACTATTTAAATTCTGCCTCTTCCTACTCTCTAGCCCAAATATGCACAAAATCTCTATGGCCTTGAGAAACAGAGAGACATGACTTGTGAAAACCACGAGGAATCAAGACATGTTACTCTGTATTTAAGGATAAGCCCCACAGTGGGCAGCACAAACAGCCTGGGAGCCACTGTGCCTGTGCCTCTCTGTCCTTCTCCCTTTGCTTGCTGTGTATCTGCATACCTTGGAATACACTGTGACCCCAGTTAAGTGTCCCTTCGCCAGGCAGCTGCCGCAATGTCCAAACCTGGGTCAAGGTCCCACGCCTGCTCCCATAGCCCTGGACCTGCTTCTGTCACAGCACTGATCACACCGAGATGGAAGACTCCAGGCGGCAAGGACCAAGGGCCATGTCCCAAGTGACTTTGTACCCAGAAAATAACAGCTGTTCAATAAGTGTGTATTGAGTTAATTAGTTCTCCATGGTCCTGGTAGGCTTTGTGCTGCGGCTGGCTGGGTAGTAACTTGGGGTGTTAGCTGTTAGGGATGAGTCTCCTTGACTTGGAGTTTAAGTAACTGAGTCTCAGACACCTAGAGTGAGATCACAGCCCCAGTTTACTGACAGACACCAGGTGTGGGCGCGCCTTTCTTCTCCTGTCTCCCAGTTGAGGCTGCCCCTACTCTCATCCATTTATACTGACTAGTAATTACAACTGGATAAAAATAAAATTCTATTTCTTTGAGGTGTAGACACAGCAGATTCCATAAATACCTCCTGTCGCTGCAGCCTCCAAATTTTTGTTTCCATTGACCTTGTGACCTTGCTTCTCACTTTAGTTGGCTCTGCCCTCTCTGTTGTTTCCCGTTAATCCTTCCTGAGAACTCAGTTTTCCTCTGATTGCTCCCAAAACCTTTCACACTAGTATTTGTGTGTGACATATTATATTGAAGGTTTGGGGAGAAGAATTCTAAACCACAGAAGCACAATCTAAAATTGGATACTGAATATCTTATTTTTAGATGTTCCTCAGGAGCCTGCTCCCAGAATTTCTCAGAGGTCTCTTCCTTAGTCTCCAACTTCCTGCCTTCTGCCTGGCTCTTTGTCCCCTTCCCCTCTGTAGATTTGAGAGATGTTTCTCCATTCCTCCCCAATCTTGGCCCTCCTCCTCCTCCTTTATTGTCCTGAGCCTCTACTGAACTCCGGACGTATCTCATCTGACCCAAAGACAAGACATGCTGTTGAATACAGCAGGACTGCAGAAGGGTGGCCACTCCTCTTCCCTACCATTTTGCCTGATTAATTCCTACTTGTTCTTCACATCTCAGCTCAAAAGTCACATCCTAAGTAAAGCCACACAGTCCTGGTAATGATCTAAGCACAGACACCTACATCCCAAACATGAACCCCTAACACCCAAGATACAGTCTCATGATCCCCCAACTTTGCCTTCAAAGCATATGTCAGTGTATACTACTATATTTGCGTGATTCTTTCATTAATAGGCATCTTTCCCTAGATTGTGAGTTCCCTACTGAATCCCCTTCACCTAGATAGGTACCTGGCATATGGTGGGTACAAAATTCTGTGTTATATGAATAAGTGAAAGAATAAATGAATGAAATGAGTGAGTGAAAGGGTGCCCCTAGCAGAGGAAACCAAAGATTAAAAACAAAAAGGTGGGAAAAATCATACATAACTAGGGACAAAAATAGTTTGAAATGTCGGGAGTGGAAGATACACGCGGACAGGACCGCTGCTAGTCCTTATGCTTCATTGTGAAACTGAGCAAAAGATGCCTTTTTTCTTGGCAGATACAGATCCTCACTATAGGGTGACAGGTGGCAGCCAGAGCCCATGCTCACTTCAGCTCCCACATGCCCCTATTGGCCAGGTGTATTTGTGCAGGGTACCACCTTCACATGCATGAGTGGTAGGCCTGCATGTTGGGGAATGTGTGGTGCAGTGACTGGGAGGTAAGCAGGTGATAGCTCAGGAAGGAGGTTCCATGCTAAACTTGGGACTTCATCTCTTGTCTGGATCATTTCTACAGCCCCTTGATTCTTATCTCTCTTCCCAGTCTCTCTTCTTGCAATTCATCCTATGCACTATAGCAAGAATGATTTTTCTAAAATGCAAATATTGTTCTATCTATTTAAGACTCTCCACAGATGGTGTTTTCCAGTTTGGCGTGAGATCCTATGAAAATTGCTAGAAATATATCCCAGGGTTTTGTCCCTTCTGTACTATAGCCAAAGAGAGGCTGTTATGTGCAGTGGTTAAGAAGACTGCAGGGGCTTGAAAGACTGACCCTCTGGAACCAAATCCTCATTCTGTCATTTTCTAATGACAAGATATTGGAAAAGTTGCTTAACTTCTCTATCTTTTCTCATCCACAAAATGGAGACAGTAATAGCAGCTACTTCACTGGGTTGATGAGAAGATTAAATTAGTTAATTCAAATAAAGTATTTAAAATAGTGCCTGGCATATAACTAAAGTACTTAATAAATGTTAGCTATTATTGAGACAGCCAGGTGGGACGGGCTCCCTGGCAAAACTCCAACCAGCCTATGCACTGAGAGGAATGCACACTGGGATGGAGCCACAGACATTTGTGCCATTTGCAGCAGGGAGGAGCCTGGCCCCTCCTCTTCTTGGGTGGAACCTGGAATTCAATCTGTGAGGTGGGATTCCTACACTAGCAGGAACTCTGGCCTTGCAGAGAGTCCCTGTTACCCCTTTTTTCCTTTTTGCCCAATAAATCCTGTTATTCTCACCCTTCAAATCGTCTGTGAGCCTAATTTTTTATGGCCATGTGATAAGGACCTGGCTGTTAGCTGAACTAAGGAAAACATCCCACATTATTACTGCTATTAGTAGCAGGCAAGATGAACACATAAGGAGGCATGACATTACGTAGCAATGTTATTTTAGATCTAGCACAAAATGCTGTCAGAGAAAAGAGCAGGGAGGAATTAGTTCTACCAGGGAAATCAGGAAAGGGCAGAACATAAAATTGCATAATAGAGCTGGAGTTTGAAGGATGAATGAATGGGAGTTTTCTAGAAAAAGTCATACAAGGTAGTGAGGCACCATGTGCAAAAGGGTTAAGGTACAAAAGTGCACAATGAATTCTCATGAAATAGGGATACTATTTATTCATTTGTAAATGTCAACCCTGCATATTTAATTTCCCCTTATAAACCCTGTCTATATTTAGCCTCTTGCCTCTAAGGCAGAGCTGTGAAGATTACTGACCAGGGACTGAAGAGAATGGGCATTGCACCACTGGGGCAGAGGCTATCGTTGTCCTTGCCCATATCCTCTAGGTCTCAGCAGTCCTGTTTGCTGTGACTTCCTGCTGAAAGTCCCTTCACCGCTCTGCTGAGGGCTTTCTCTGACTGTAGAGAAATGTTCAATCCCTGCATACAACAAGCTAGAAGTGCTGGGAGTTGACACACCTGGGAGCAGCCTTGAACCAGTGACGAAAAAGAGTTTGAGGATAAGCACTGTCAGTCCCTTGCCCTGAAGTGGGACAACTTGGAGCCTTGCTCTAAAATATCTTTCAGAGGCTCTCAGGGACAATGAGGCACAGCTGCCCACCATGTTAATATGTCCATTAACACACCCTGCATAGCTCCCTTCCCTTCCCTGTCTCATTTCCCCATTTCCTGGGTGGTGTTTCCCGGGATCTCCTCTGAAATAAACCGCTGGCACCTGGTCTCACGTGCTGCTTCTGGGAAACCAAACAAAGACAGTTTTTTTTTTTACAGGAAATCAGGCTTTGAAGTTGGGCTTTGTGGAGTGGGAAAAGGGTAAAGTCTGGAGGATTTTGGCCATGAAGTCTTACCCACAGGGAGAGAAGCTCTCCTGTCTAGTATCGAGTCTTAGCCTTGCTGCTGGCCACAGGAAGTGGGTGCTGAAGGGAACGTTTTCAGGCAGAGGGAACAACCCATACAAGGAGATCTATGAGTTTATCTCCAGTTTTGAAGTTTCACAATCAAGATTTCTTTCATTTTGGCACTAAACGCTATCAATAATGTCATGGGCCGCACCTTGTTCCAGGCACTAGGGGTACCATGGTGTTCAAGCTTTGGCACCTTCTTAGTTCTCAGTTAGACTCAGTTCTCTGAGGACCAGGATGTTTCTCCTTTAACTCTTATCATGCAGTAAAACAGCCAATGTGGTGGAAAGAAAAGGACCCTAAGCCGAAAGTCAGGAGACCCAAGCTCCATTCCCAGGGTCTCAGGGAGAGTCCGAGGCAAACAGTGAATAGCTGCAGTGCAGGAAGCTCACAGGTCAGGGTCAGTCCTAGAAGGGCTCTCAGTGATGAGCTAATCAGACTCGCACATTTCACAGAAAGAGACACTGGAGAATTCTAGAAGGGATGGGACTTGCTTAAGGCCATGCAAGGATTCAGCAACAATCATCCAGGCCCTTGAAGATGAAAAGTGTTTCAGGGGTAGTGGGCAAGCCAAGAATGATATAGGAGGGGCTGGAGAAACAGGCATATTGAGGCCTATATTACCACCAATCCCTGGGCAGGTCTACTGAAGGCACACACGTCACACGCACATTTACATTTTCATTAATGTGTCTGTCACACTCATCATTTGAAGGGGTCTCCAAGGTCCTCATTCAGCCCTACTTCCCATATCCCATGCCATTGTTCATGCGGCTCCCTTTGCCTGGAACACTTACCCTTGACCTTCTACCTATCTCCTATCTACCTTCTGCCTATCTCCTACTCACCTCAGGAAGCATTTCCTACTAACTTTTCATGCTGCCTCCTCCACTCACCCAAGTTGGTTTTGTGTCCTTCCTCTGAGCCTCCACAGGCCCCTGTGTTTCTACCATAGCAAGTTTCATGCAAGTGTTATAATTATTTTCATATCTTCTTTGCCATAGACTGGTGCTCTTTGAAAGTAGGCGTGGTGTTCATCTAGGGGTTGCATTGTTTTAGGACATTTAGTAAGCTCTTCATAAATGTTCAATGAATGAGTGAATGAATGCATGCTCAATTTACTCCATTATATTTTGGCCCTGGATTCCTTAGTTCTTAGCCACAATCAAGAGAAAGAATAATAAACAATATCTGTACAATCTGTATAGACTTTAGAGTTACAAAGTCCTGCCACGGGTGAGGTCTCATTAAATTCCTACAACTCCTAGAGGTAGGTAGACAAGTATCTCCTTTTCAGAAAGGCCGGTCAACACCCAAATGTGAACTTCAGGACAGCCTCTAAAAATTAAAAAGCAAAGCAGCCTTTTTTGTCTCCAAGTTCCAACAACCCCTTTCACATTCAGAATGTCCCGTGTATTTGAGGAATCTCAGAGGGTAGCATTCACCATTTGTGCCTCAGTTGTTCCAGTCTAATGTGAACCTTCAGCCTCATTGACTCTAATGCTCCCGTGGCCCCTTTCCAAACCTGTCATCTTTGCCATGCTCTCCCATTCCAGCAGGGCCTTGTTCTCAGGTTGATCTCTCCATCTCTACCTGCCCATATGTACATATGAGATGTCACCTGGCTCACAATATATGTATATATTTCAGCAGGGTTCTTAGCCCCCCTTTCAATTGCAAGGTGATGTCAGGCCTTCTACCAAGTCACTTAAAAGGAAACTGCCTGTCCATTGGGTCAGTTGTCAGCTGCCACAGTGAGAGCTGTAACCACCTCTCTGAAACCTTTCAGGGCCCCTACCCCAACTCACCTCCAGTTGGTGCATGGGGCAGTGGTAAAAATACTAGATGAGTGGGTAAAAGATTTGTATCCTAGCTTAATTTTGTCATTACTTGCTTTATGACCCTCCCTAGCCATCCCTCAGTTGCTTCTTCCTTAAAAGAGGAGAGGCGAAAAGGCTTGAATTAGATTAGATGAAATCTAAGGACGCTTCTCATGTTGACGTTGTGTGCTTCTGATTCGATTCCACATTTGTCTCCTTGGGGCAGAAAGTGGATGGGTTGGTTGGTGGTAGTGGAGGGTGTACAGGGAAAGTCATATGCCAGCTTGAGAGGCAACAGCACAAATAGAAAAACATTGCAAAGTAGCTTTCATAGAATCGAAATGGGTTTACCATGAGCAATAACTTTAAGAAGCAGCTTTGAACTGTGAAAGGACGGTGTTTTTAAAAAATAGCACTCTTAAAAATATCATGAAGAAAATGTTTTCTAAAATGTTTTTGTTATTGAGTTTGGACCACAAAGCACTCAATTTAACATGAGAAACTCGTAACCATGTCCTTGGGTGTGAGAGTTCACATCAGTCACAGGGGACGGAAACTGCTAGAAGCCCAGGCAAAGCAGTGTCAGTTATCCATTAACCTAGAATGAGTGTCTCTCTAGATTTCTAGCCTTAAGTAAGATTACTGTAATTTCTTCTTTTCTCCAGGGTAAAAATTTGGGAGAAATTTAAAGGTTATATATAAACATAAATCCTATAGGCTTAAATTAAGGTAGTTACAGTTTACTTTCATATTTCAGAATCAAATTTCAGCTTCAGCCCAGACTCACAAAGTAGAAATGTCAGACTTTTTACCGTGGTCTTATATAAAATCTACAACTTTCACTTAGAGAGGAAAAAATAAAACCCAACCTTTATACCTTATCTCCTGAATAGACTACAAAAGCGGCATGGGTCTATCTCTCAGTATGCCTTGAATGTAAATTTTAGGATTACATGCATTCAGAATGAGAAGGAACCTCAGAGGCAGCTAGTGCAGGTCTCCTCCCTCTTCAGTCAGGGTCAGAATTTCTCTGAAGTCTCCCTGACAGGTAAGCTTAGCCAGCCCTCTATTAGAACTTGCGAATTGGCAGGGTGGTCCAGAGATGGAGCAATGATGACCTCCTGAAAGCATTCATTACTGGACCACACTGCCAGTTAGAAAGTACTTCCTTTTACTAGCTAAATTCTGCATCCCTGAAATTTCTAACCACTTGAACAAACAAACCAAACATGTATTCCAAAATTATATTTCCACTATTTATGATTTCTTCTTAAAGGAATGATTTACAAACTGGGAATTTCCTACAGAATAGTAAATTTATCTGGGATGAGAAGTACGTGAAGACTAATAAGACTGATAATTTTTAAAATCCTTGCAATTATTTTATAAAGCATACTCCCACATTAACCATCTCATTTAGTTCTCAACACCAGTCTAGGATGCTGAATTATTACAAATGAAGAAACAGACTCAGAGAGGTGAGGTGATATGGCTGAATTGGTCCTTAAGCCCAGATTTCTGACCCCACATTCAACCCTACCCTCATTGTACTACTTACTTACGCAGCATTCTTCATGAATGTTACTAGTTTCCAGGCTCATGACATAAATACGGAAAACAGCTGCAATCTACGTGGAGGTCAGTCGAATAAAAAAGGCAGGCAAGTCAGCAAATTATTGCAGAACAATTAAGGACTGAAATTCTAGGTGGAAACAAAATACCTTGGAAAACCAGAGAAAGGAGCAACAAATTACCTGGTGGAAATGGGGAAACCTTTATGGGAAATAATGTTTAACTTAGATTTAGACATTTAGCTCTACTTGGAGTGTAGAGATTTCGGTGTAGAGAGACCAAATGATTATATGAGAGACAGAAGAAACTGCACAAAGCAAGACAAGTAGGTAAAAGGCCATGGCATCTTTAAGGTAGAGTGAGGTACCTTTTGTGGCTGAAGCACAGGGTGTGTGAGAGTGTAATACAGATGACATTGGAGAAGAAGTAAGGTGAGCCTAGGGACACTGGGTGCCACGGTATAGTCAAGAATGGGACAGAGTCAGGGAGGGTAAGGGCAACTAATATATTCAAAGAGCATCTTATCTTTAGAAAGATCATTCCAGCAACAGTAAGAGAATAAATGATAGAGCCAGAGGCTGCTAAGGGATGGCAAGTTTTGAGGTTGTTGCAGTATCACTGGAAAAAAAGAAAGGAAAAATCCATCAATAGATAAAGGGATAAATAAAATCTTATATATACACCTAGAATACTATTCAACCATATAAAAAGGACAGCTAAATGATGATATCTCATGGACACAAAGAGGGGAACAACAGACACCGGGGCCTACTTGAGAGTGGAGAGTCGGAGAACGGAGACGATCAGAAAAAATAACAATTGGGCACTAGACTTAGTACCTGCATGATAAAATAATCTATAACAAACATTTGTGACATCAGTTTACCTGTGTAACAAAGCTGCACATGTATCCCTGAACCTCAAATAAAAGTTTTTTAAAAAAGGAATGAATTTTGATATATACTATAACATGAATGGACCTTGAAAACATCACATTTAGTGAAATAAACCAGACAGAGAAAAGCAGATATTGAATGGTTCCACTTATGTGAGGTCCCCAGAATAGGCAAATTCAGAGAGACAGATAGCAGAATAGAGGGCAGGGGAAGAGTAGGCAAGGGGGAGAAATTGTTTAGTGGGTACAGAGTTTATGTTGAGGATGATGAAAAATTTTGGGTGTAGATAGTGGTGATAGGTGTACAGCATTATGAATGCATTTAATGTCACTCAATTGTACAACTGAGTGTACATTTGGTTAAAATCATAAATACTTAAAATTTATATATTTTACAATGGTTAAAATTATAAATATTATGCTATGTCATTTTACCACTGTTTAAAAAAAGATTGATAGATTAATACTGTACTAAAGCAAACACATCAAAATGTTAATTGTAGAATAAAAATGTTATGGAAAGAAGAGCATGAAAGATTAATTTGGCTAAAGAACAGAATGTAAATGTTACAACTTTGACAACATAAACATGTAGTTGACAAAAGATAGAATTGAGAGGGCAAAGATAGACGTGTTAATATCTGTCTTCTTACAAAGTAGGTAGTCAACAGATTGCTGAAAGCAGGTGGAGCAAGAAATAGAGGTTTAAGTCTGTTACTGAAAATTACATATGTAATCAATAAAATAACTAATAATAACATAAATATCAAACACTAGGAGAAGGAAGGAAAGGTAGCCAATGTTAAATTTTCATCTTTCAGAGTAGAGATTGCTCTTGGCTTGTTGAGGTCAGGATAAAAGGTATTACATCTACATGCAGTTGTGGAGGAATCCACCAGAACACCCAGGCAGACCATTCACAGAAGGTCATCCCTGGGTACCTGCAGGTACGGGGTAAGAAGAGAGAATATCATAAGCTGTACTACACTGTTCACAACAACATACTATTTTAACTTTTAAAAGTTAGTACAATTACAAAAAGATACCCTCCTTTGAAAGAGGGCCTGAATTAGGACAGTAGCAGTGAAGAAGGGGAGAGGACTGTAGGAGGGGAGAAGGCTGCTAAAAGGCATTCATGAAGTTAAATCCGCAGGACTTACTGACTCTGGGGGGATGGAGAGAATTAAGAATAATTCCTAGGCTTTAGATCTAAAGAGTAGGTACTGTAATGTATTGAGATGTGGAAAGCAGGTTTGGTCTTGAGAGAAGAAGAGAGCTCAGATCTGAGCACACTGACTTGGAGGTACCCGTGGGATATCTCATTGGCATTGCCAAATAGTTTTTATATCTGTGAATCTGGAGCTTGATAAAGAGGTTAGGGCTGTACACCTTCCTTATAACTACTGCTTGGGACGAACACTAACTATTCATAGGCCTAGTATTAGATCTATGGTTTTGTGTTGGGAATGGTGGTGATGCCCAGTGGTGTAAGTCACTTTTGGAACAGAGAGCTACTTGAGACTTTATTTTGTGTCAGAAACTGGAAGAGCGAGAGGGTGGAGCCTTTCTTTGTCCAGCCATGTTTCTGCAAACTGGTTTGGATCATATATGTTATAACAGAACTTGCAGAGGCAAAGACAGGGTGATGTGTCACCAGATTCCTCTTTAAGAAAAGGCCAGTTGCCCCTGCTGTTGGCAGTTCTGTGGGGAGGCAGCCCTCAATTGTCAGCATAATCAGGAATTTCTTTACCTGCAGATCCACCTTGCCAGAGGTCCCACCCTTCCAAGAGCAGTCCACATCCAGTGAATAATAAGTTTAAAAACATGGCCATTTCAGAATAACATGAGTTCATTCCAACGGGCCACGTTAGCTCCAGAGCTTCCTGTGGGTTTGACCAAGGTTGCTATCAGGCCTGTGTTGCAGCTAAAATTATCCCCTTTGCCCAATCCTTCCCTCCCACTGGTATAGATCCAAGGTCACTACATTAAAAAATCCTGCAATCCAAACTCCACTTTAAGAGTCCATGGTAGGGGTTAAATGGCTAAGCAAGCTCCTTTGATTTTGCCTATTTGTAGTACTTGCTATAATCCCATGCTCTGCAGACTAGATTGCTGCAGACAGACCCTAACTGAAGCACAGCCCTCTGCATTTTCCATATATACCGGTGAGTAGCTAATGGCTATTTTCTGTTTTACAAGATAGAGTGAAAACAGGCTTCAATGAATCCAGTTGGACAAGTAACAAAAAGACTATCATGTGTTCAGCAAATAACTCCATCCAACTGCCCGAAAGACTCCCATAGCCAAAGCCATTAAACTTTATGTGTTTCATTTTCTCCCTCCTGCAACCCTGAAGTCTTTGCTGACATTTGAAGCCTGGTAATAATCAATGTCCCCTATCCATGTTACTGAATTCTCAGCCAAATTCATGGCTGTCTCATTTTCTGAGTCAGATGTCCTAATCAACTAATCCATTCTAAATAGCCTTGCTTCTGGATACAAAGGGGGAAGAAAAAATAAACGTCTTTAAGTTTCAGGGACATAAAATTGTGTTGGAAAATGTTCCTTATGGAAACATCAGATGGTCACAGAAGGAGTGTTTTACAAATAAAAATAAATATATTTGGGACTTCTATGCAATGGCATGAATAAAATGAACCATCATTGGAGAAAAATATTCATTCAAAATGATTTAGGGGGATTTAATTTATTTGTTGTTTTGTTTTTCTTTCATATGTTTTTATCTTTCTGCATTTCCTGGACAACAAATTTTGAAGCCCAGTAAATGAAGCAAAATATATCTTGCATTCTACTCAAATTAATCTCAGGAACACAGA